CCCCAAAACCCCAAAACCCCAAAACCCCAAAACCCCAAAACCCCAAAACCCCAAAACCCCTTTGGTAAAGAAAATTATTGATGAAGATAAAATTTTAGTAAATTTAAATGTAAACAGATTAATCCTAAGAAATTTTTTAAAGGGCAAACACTTTGCAAACATCTTGATGCTAGGTACTATTCCATGCTCTTTATCACTGGTGATCCTCTGGTATCTACCAGGATCTTCCAAATATCTCAAGAAAGGGAGCAGCTCAATAAATGCAAACAATTCCTTGCTCTGATGACTAAGTCTCTAATAGAGTTGAGTTTTCACAAGACTTCTTGTTCCCTGATGATGCTGGTGAGGATTAAGATTCCAGATCAAGTGAACAGCAAAGTTCAAAAAGTAAGATTCACTCTAAAGCTTGTTCATTAAACAAAACTGACCTTTAGACAGAAACAAGCAAGAGTTCTCAGTAATGAGCTAGTTGAATAACCCTGGGACTCGGACTGGCCTGACCATTGTGACGGTGTGGTTCTGCATTGCATCCTTCAACTTCTTCACTAAGTATGTTGGAGGTTATCTTTCTGAGTATCATTTGAGTTGCTGCGGCTCAAACCCTAGGAATTATGATCGCTGGGTGCATCCAAAAACTGGTTGTGACTAAGAGTGTTTATTAGCTACTTCATGCTGCTGTTCATGGCCTTTTCTTCTCTTCAAGTGTCCAGAAGTCGACAAGCCATTATCGCCTCAATGTTTGTATGCAAGTTTATACTATAAAGTCTGTTCTTGATTATGTACAACTGTAATCCTGAAGTGTTCCGACTCTGTTTACGTCTTTCTCGTTTTCTATTTGCTGGTTAGCCTCCAGAGAGTTCAAAACACTTGCACCTTAAATGTCTGAAATGAAGCCAATAGAGATGTCAATAACTGCGCTTCTTATTTGCTGTGTAATTGCTGTGATAGCAGCCACACATCTGAAGAAGCATAACAGTAAAGAAGCAGGGTAAAAGATAAAGCAAGATTAATTTTTGAAGTTTCAGTATTAATATATCTTTTTAACACATCAAGGAACGATACTTTACAGATAGCTCAATATTTTGGTGCAAGTTTAGCAAATAAAGAAATTAATTTATTAGAACAATATTTTTAGTCTAGAAATGCAATTTTTTTATCTTCACCGCCTTTCAGTTGTTTAATCTCATCCTGTAGTAAGAGATCATGCCAATGATGCAGTAAAATATGAAATCTAAGATTTGGAACTATCTTTTCTGGTAAAAATATTGGATAACTTGTGTAAAGATCTTCTAAGGATGAGAACTAACAGGCCTTATAAGGAATCTAAGATTATAAGCCAATTTTTGCAATTTTTGAATAATTTATATGAAATTTTAATTTAAATTTTGATGTTTTAAATAATCTTTCATCTATAAACCCATTACTTGATTTTTAACCTTCTCGGTACTATGTCAAATAAGATATATTTACGCTTAAAAACATTGCTAAAGGTAAAACCGTCATAATAAAGCTCAATTTGATTAAAACTATGTTATATAATGAATCAAATCCTAGAATGCCATAAATCATCAAATTTTACGATTAAACTTAGTATAAAATCATACCTCTAAATTTAGAGATTATCAATACAATTAAACTCTTTGGTATTGTCAAAGTCTGAAAGTTATTATTCATAGCAAGGATGTCAACAACACAAGAATGGATCTGGAGCTAACTCTAAGAGGGTTCATACTACCACCTTGGATCTAATTCAATCTATAAAACTAGCTTATTTCAGTCCTGTGATAGAACCTCCCATAGGAATTAAATGCAGAGTAATATCTTCAAGACCAGGAAATTTGGCAACTTTCAGTGGACATTTTAATATACACTGCAGTTTCAAGGCAGGACTAAGCCTGGATGTATTTATATACCACCTTGTCTTCATGAAGCTCTAGTCTAAACTACTCTGATGAGAGACTATCTCAGAGAATTTTGAAACTTCCCAGAGAGAAGATCTGGCTTTCTTTGAAAATGAGTAAGACAGAAATAAAAAACTAAGAACTTTAGTAGCTGGGAATAATATTTCTAAAGATAAGGAAATCTAGATTTTGAGAGGATGAAAGTTTCAAAAATTGGATGAAAGAACTCGTGTAGCATAGAGAAAGTTTTATGTTCATAGGGTTCATGTTATTTCTTGGATGTGTTTTTGGCGAATTCGGGATAACTCAAGCAAACTATTTGATAGAAAATTTACTATCTCTAGAATTGAAATAGCTCCGGTAGCTATAATGTATTATTGCTATGTTAATTTTCAGCTCCTCTAATCTATTTCCCAAGCATTGTAATCATTCCTAGCTAGTTTTATCTAAATGCTCGAAATAGACTGGGAGTTCTGTCTCTTTATATCATAACCCATAGATATTTCATTATCTTTGTATCACTAATATCCAACTGTTTTTCCAAATCATGTTCATCTTTGCCCCTCAAGTGACAAAAATGAAGCCAAGGTAAACTCCAATTATCATTATTCTATCTCTAACTTTTATATCGGGGTTTTGGGGTTTTGGGGTTTTGGGGTTTTGGGG